CAAGCAGAATGGTCATCGAAAGTTTCACAGTTAACCCGCGCGGGGCTGGGGGGGTAAATTTTACCCCCCCTCGCGAATTTTTGCAATATCTTAAACACGGCGGCGCGCAGCGCCGCCAAACTTTCAGTACCTTTTCTTACATTAATTTGACACGTTCCCTGAAAATTTGAGCGAAATCCGTCGGAAATTTTTTGAGAAATTGACGTTTTAGTGACGTCATGTTCGCCATTTTCGCCTCAAAAACGGCAAAATTGCAAACGCCGCTAACATCTTCATTTTTAAAGGAATCAAGACGTAACAAAAAAGGATATACGTAATTTTACTTTGTCTATCAAATGGCCATCTTGGTTTTTTGAAAATTTTGGATTTTGGCCCAATTTTTTTTCAAAAAACTGACTTTTTTGGGAAAATAGCTATAAAATCCAAAATGTTGAGTGTATCGAAAAAAACGGAATATATGTCAGAGAAGTGGTCTATGTGCACCTACATACCAAGTTTTAGAAGAATCGGTTCAAAAATGTGGGAGTTATTCAAAATTGTATGACGTCACGACACACAAAAATTTTAAAAAATGACTTTTTTGGAAGTTCTAGACCTCGTACGGAAACAAAAGTAGCACCATTCGATTCGCCGTGAAAAACTGCATCAGATAGACACCTTTTTAGGCCTTAACAACCAACTTCAAAATTTGACCTCACTTGACCTGACCTTGACCTGACCTCGACCTGAAATTCAACCAGAGGTGGTCCATATCACTTATTGAGTGTGCCTATTGAATTCTATGAGTAAAATGACCCATAAAACATGTGTCGCACATGCCCTTTTCTATATTTTGTTTTTGGTGACCTGACCTGACCTGACCTGACCTTGACCTTGACCTCTGAATGATATTGCATGCAATGAATATTGTCTTGGTAGCCTAAGAACACGTTTTGGGCGATCAGTCTCAGTCCATGACTCCATTCTTCGGCAACTACGGTGCAAGGCCGATACTGTAGGAACTTGCAATTTGTACCCTTGACCTGACCTTGACCTTGACCTCAAACTTAAAATTAAGTACATGTTTTTAGTTGTTCGTGATGAGATCTTTCGATTGGCGTTTGAATTTTCCAAATCGGACCATTAGTTCGGGAGATAACAGGGGGGGGGGGGTAAAATTTACCCCCCCCCCCCAGCCCCGCGCGTTCGGCTGGAGACCCCAGCCCCGCGCGGGTTAAGGAACACTGTTCTGATCGCCAAAGCACGGCATTTTCTGACCGCTGATTACCTATAATAACCTATAACAAAAATAACTGATTAGGTACCTATAATAAAAACAACCAATGCTAAAAACTAAGAACGAGTCCCATGATGTGCAATGTGCATGCTTTTTTAAAGGATTTATTCGATAACTTACATTAAAGTGTTCTCTATGCGAAAGTTTAAGGGTGGTGCATGGGAAAATGTTTTTTTTCGGGTGTGGAAGAAATATATATTTGATTAAACTGTAAAGGTATTTGTTTTTATATTGTGCGACAAAATGTGATACATAATTCAGATATACGGCTCACTTCCGAATGCACAAACTGCCGCGACTTGACTCATATCAAAATAACAGACAACAGTGGATCATCAGTGAATGCAATAGACTTAACCCGCGACCGCCTGGGGGGTCGGATCCGACCCCCCCTCCGTTTTTCTTGAATAACTCAAGAACCACTTACGCTATCAACTTGAAACTTGGAATACCTTCTCCCCCATCAATTTGACGTCTTCTGTGTAATTTTTAAGAAAAAAAAATTCAAAAACTTCTGAGATATATCGATTTTAGTGATGTAACTACATGGCGTTTTTAGTCAAAAAGTGGTAAATGTTTAAAAAATCGCCAAAAATCGGGTTTAAAGCAAATTGCAAATTAACCCTATTCCTGGCGGGCTCCGCCGGGACAAGAAACTGGCGGGGGGGGGGCCGATTCGCCCCCCCCCCTGAGATCTCGAGAACGAAGCAAGATAGCGACAAGCGGTAAACGGCATCGGATACGCACGGCCAAGATCTACAATTTTTACAAAGGTCATTTTCAGGTCAGGTCAAAGATGACGTCACAGGGGTCGAAAAAGTCAAAATGGCGGCACTAGATATGGAGATAGTTTTTCTCGAATAACTTTCGAATTAGTCAAGATAGGAACAAACTAAGGGCATCATCGTGATCCTCTCGTCAATCCGCATCGAATGATATATATGTTGACCTCGAAAGGTCAAGGTCAAAGGTTGACCTCAGGTCACGTGACCTCGAGGTCATCATGTATATCATTCGATGCGTCTTGACGAGCTGAACACAATGAGACCATCCAAGCGTCTGTATCTTGTTCCTGTACGGAGTTATTGGCCAAAAACCTTTGGTGACCTTTGATGACGTCACATGACCTCACAGCTGCCCAACAGCAAAACAGACCTCAAGGTAGTGAAGGTTGATCGTATATGAAGTCATGTATGGTATATGGGGCCATTCCGACCCGTTTTAGTGGTAAAAACAGGGAGTTGATTTTTCCCCCATTGACTTACAATGGGGAGGTCGCGAAATTGACCTGACCTTAGGTCACCGATATCAAAATTCCGAGATATACAAATTGCACATACTGGTACCCTAACTAAACCCTGAAGAGAAGAAATTGATCGGTCAAAAACTCTAGCTCTGGCGTGATTGCAAACTTTTCTGAGGTAGCGTCACCAAACCGCCTCTGGTGACCTGACCTGAGGTCAGATCAACTCAAAATTTTCAGACATGTTGCGTAGAAGCCTTTTAGGAAAAGTCAGAAAGTTTCAGCTTCCTAGCTCAACGCGTTTGGGAGATATAACCAAAAAACCTCAGGGGGGGCTCCTGAGGCCCCCCCCCCGCCAGGAATAGGGTTAAGGACATGAATAGACGCAGCTCAACGAGTTCTTTAAAATGGCTATCTCGGATTTTCCATAAAATGCGTTTTGTACCCCTAAAAATTCAAAAAACTACATTTTTTGGAAAACAGCGAATAAAATCCAAAATTTTGAGAATTTCCAAAAAACCGGAATATATGTTATAGAGCTCCATTAGAACATTAGATGTCCCAAATTTCAACTTTCTATCTTGATTTTTGACCCCCAAATTGTAAAAAATAGCTCCAACATGCATAGGGCATGGTGACGTCATAAGCATTTTCGTGAATTAGAGGCACTTCTGAACATCGCATGTGAAAACAAATGGCACCACTAGATTCCTGGGACAAAGCTCGTCTAGAAAAGTGCATTTTTATGTCAAAAATAAAAAAGTTGAAAAATTGACCTTTTTCTCAGCCCTCGTTTAGTTATGTATGGTATAAACGATTTTTTATGCTTTCAATGCACACTTATCACTAGCACAGTGACTTGGGGTCACATATAACCATTACCATCGGATTCGGCGTGAGAAATAAGCCATAAAACATGTGTTGCACGCCCATGTAGCAGAAAGTGAAAACCGTGACCTTTCGTGACCTGACCTGACCTTGACCCGTACTTAGTATGACCCCTATACGCACATGGTACCTTCACTAGGCCTTTGAGGTCATTTTTGGTGAGTTTCGAGCAGCAGCTATCGATTCCACTGTCCGTAAGCCTAATCATGCAAAACCCCAGAATTTGACCTTTGACCTGACCTTGACCCGAAAGTTGACCTCAATCTTAAAATCTTAAGAGTGCTTTGGGGAGGTCTCGTAGAGACTTTTCGAACGCCGCTTCGCGGGGCTCGGTGCGACCATTGGTTCTCGAGATAGGGGGGGGGGGTCGGATCCGATCCCCCCAGGCTGTCGTGGGTACGGAAATAGCCCAGGCGGTGCCGGGTTGTGATCTTAGATAATTCGAAACACGTGTCGCACTTACTTGGTCACGCTAGCAACTGCCTGCTGGGCTCAATGCTAACTGGTGATTAGACTTGTGCAATGACCGTGTCGTATCACGCACCTGCTATGGCTGACACCTGGGCTCACTATACAGAGACCTCAGGCCCAATGTATGTGTTTTCTTCTTTTTAGTGACAACTGGCACTAACACGGGAATTTTTTATATCCATACATAACCACCTTTCATTTGCCCAGGTGTGCTTTCATGTGTTTGAGAACAACAATAGTTATAACTTATCACCTAATGCATATTTACCTTATAATAAGAAGTCAATGAAAACAAAAATAACTTAAATTTTTGTTTAGATTAGACTGCACTTGTACGAAAACCTTTTAGTTCGCTCGGTATACCTACAGCGTGTTTACAAGTTGCAACGCACCTGTACGAGCACTACCTATATTGAATGCTGGTTATCCTATTCTCCACGACCCCATCGCCCAAGTCACACCGTCCCCAGTCAGCCGCCTCGCCTGTGTCAGTTTGCACTGGTGCAGACCTCGCCTGCGGCGGTGACTCGGCTTATCACTGGTCCCAGCAGGGCCAATCGCCCGCTGCTCTTAGGGAGAGTGGCTGAGGTGGGGGGGGGGGGGCAGGTCTCCCTCCCCCGACGGTGTCATGTGGGCCACGCTCGCCTCCAGCAGCCCTTTCCTGACCGAGCCCGTTCTCGGACTTTTTACCGGCGCGCAAAGCGAGAAAACTAGTTTTGCGGCCGCCGGCATGGAAACCTGTCTCCGTATCACGAGCCGGTTTTTACCTGCGGCGTTAATTCAAAATGGCGACTGCAGGCGTCGGCAGAACTCTGCCACGTGGCCGATGCCGGCGGCGCTGTTCGCCTTGCCCCTTCCCCCTCTCTTTGTGCCTTCCTGCGGGTCCGGCGGCGGCCGAAACACTTGCACACGCGTAATTGTCCGGCCCCCATCAGCGATCGCAATCAACAGGTCTTCGCGGCCACGTTCCTGACAGGTGAACACCAATCACTGCTCGGTCGGCAGCGCTCGACCAATCAGCCCACGCGACACAGCCGGGCGGCCAGGTGTGGACCAATGGCGGCCGGCGTCTGTGAGCGGCCAGGTGCCGGCGCCGGCTGCGGGTACCGGCCCGGCCGGGGCGGCGGGCGGGGAACAGTGGGCTGGCCGGGCACCACTCGCGCGTGTGTCTGTGTGTGCTCAACAACGACCGGCGCCATGTCAGTGTACCTAGTGACGGCTCACGCGGTCACCGCCGGCCAGGACGGCCCGCTGCTCGGCTCCGACGAGGAGGAGATCGTCCTACTCATCTATCTGGTTCTAGATGTCGTAAATAATAAGGTGAGCTATAGGCTGTTGATTGCCGTCATTCAGTTCATAGCGCTACCGTCATGTGCTGACGATAATACATGGGGATATCTCCTTTCCGCTTATTTGATAAAGCAGAAATCAAATAAAGCATCGATTGCATATCAATTTTACAAAACGCCGTCTTCGGACAAGCCAACAGTCTTCAGGTCCCTACACTGAATCACCTTACAAAAGACAACACACCTCACCACACCGTCTCGCGCGCCTCCCTCGATCACTACACGGCTCACCCCTGCGATCCCCAACACCGGTGTCTCTCCTGAGAATCCACGTCACTCCTCACAGCTCTCACGGCCTCACTAGCGCCTCAGGGCACGTGAGCCGGCGGTGGCGGTGGCTCCCGTGCGGCACACACTTGGCACCTCGGTGGCCAACTGTTCACTTCTCACCGCCTACTCCGAGGTGGCGGCGGCGGCGGCGAATCTTTACAGCCCCTCTGATAACCGGCCCGAGCCGGCGGCGGTGGGCGCTGCGCCGCCGCCGCCGCCGCCGCCGCAGCTGCTGCACCGGCCGTACCGGCCCGCAAGGCCCGATGACCTTGAGAGGAGGCACGCTGGAAGCGGCACTGCCAGCGCGGCCAGCCGGGGGCTCGGCCGGACCGTCCTGGGCAGCCTGGTCGCGGCGCCGGCCGCTGGGCCAGCCTCCGCGGCTAACTCCTGTGTCAACACATGTGTTTGAACGCGATAAACACCTGTGAGAGAGCCGCACATGTTTGCTGCGCGGCTACCGGCCGGAAGTGGGAGTCGCGGCGCGAAACCGACTGCAGTGTCAGCGCGTCCGATGGGCCTCGGTGGTCGGGCGGTGCGACTGTTCCCAGCCTCCTCCCCACACCCCGCCGCTTCCAAAGGTAGCCATTGAGCTCTCTCAAAGCACCCGAGCCACTACATCACGAATTTCCCACTGTAACCGAGTGACAATCACAATCCCAAACCGCCAATGGTCCGCACTATCACTATGCGTTCACTGCCCCCTCCCCCTCCCCTCCTCTCGCTCATCCTCAATGGCTACTGGACTCCCCTGGAGACCCCCACGGTATAAGCCGGGAGACTGCATCGCGACATAGGCCGCTAACCTCACGCACCGACGGCCAGTCTGGGCTGGCCACTCCAGTGCCGCCGGAGACTGCATCGCTCTGCAGCGCGCACACGACACTAACACCAGGCGCTAATCGGCCGGGCCGCCAGCCTGGAGAGCCGGTGGGCAGTGGCTCTCGCTTGGTCTGACTGAGCCTCGCATACAGTCATGGGTGATGGATTAGAATGATCCAGAGTTTTCTGGAGTCATCTGGATAGGAATGGACCCAAACCGAGCGTCTCGTGACGATTATGAGCTTCTCGGAAAATCTTATCGGTTTATCTCGTTAAGTATTTCACTTAAGTCGACGTTTGGGCTAATGTTCTTCAAATATGCCTATTAGCATTTGGGTGGTTACTTAAAACATCAGGAGCTCATCCATTTGAAAAAGGCATGTGTACGGGAGGATTTAATGCACCGGAAACATCGTAGATTTGATGTATTCAGTAGACTGGGATTATCATATTCATTCCTAAAGCATCGTTTAGTCCAGCGTTTAGTTTTTTTTTATCCATTTGGTTTTTTCGCGGTAGGTAGGCATTTATCTGCTAACAAATGTAGCTTTTTAGTTTTCTCATACAATGTGGAAATTAAGTTTACCTACTGGGGTTCGGCTTACCTATATTTCAGTTTCAAGTAATATATTCTATTTAAACCATTCACTATCAGGTAAGTGAATAGTTGTCCAAGATAAGTCTACTCTCCCTCATCGGGCTATGCTGAGGGTTGATTGATACGATAAGTTTATAACGTTTTGAGTCGTTTTATAATGAATAACAATTTGCATTGCAAATAACAAACAAAGGTTGTGTCCTGCACCACGGCGGAGCCCTGTTAATTAGTTTCACCTCCAGTGGATGCTGTTGCCAGGGAGGCCGGCGTCGGCCCGGTGTCGACGTCCCCCCCCCCCCTGTTTGGAAGGATGGGACCCTCCCCACAGCCGGTACGTCGGCCGCGCCTCAGGCGACCCCAGACTCCCAGTCAGACCTCCCCTCCGTCCCGCGTACTTGGACTCGCCCAGCCGCACGCGCAAATAATGGGCTCGGGAAGGAATTTAAATAGCGTCCCAGGGAGGGTCGGCTGCTCCGATGCGTATCGGGGAGTCCTTCGTCTCAGATAGTCGTATGGCCGACGAGAGTGGCAGATCGCTGTCGGGGACCGCCTTCCCGGAGAGGGGAGGGGGGCTCGTCTTATCGGCTGGGTGAACGAGGGGAGAGGGGTAATGGAGGGAACAGCTGATACGTGGCCGCTATAACGATTCGTTACGATTCTGTTTTATGGTTGCGCAGATTTGCGAACGGGATTAATGCTAGCGGATGATTTCAATTTTATCGTGTGCTTCTTTGATTAACAAGTGTAGCCCGAGCTCAGTCTGCTTTCCTGTTTGCTCAACGAATCGTGACTGTGAGGGATTGATCTTGAGAAAGTTAATGAAAATACCTGTTACATACAGAACCAGTCTGACAACATTTTGAGTCTAACTAGCAAGGCCATGTCCTCCTTGGTAGCCTCTTGTTCTAACGAAGGTACTCGGAAATGACAAGTCGTGCGGCCCGCTGACGTGTAGGGCTGCATATCATCTCCTGACGTTATCACAATTTATTCTTTTCATGTCAGCCGTCCAAGTGCAGTTATGAAAACGTTCAATAGCGTGCACTAGCATGTGCCTATCTTGCAGTTCAGATGCGGAAAATAACCTTAGCATCAATACATAATTGTATTGTATTACATCAATGTTTTGCATCAAAGTATCTATGGATCATAGTGTCAGCTTACGTACAGATGAAAGAAACCCTCGTCAAATCACATATTATGCCTATATGGCTTACACCTTTGAACTGAACTGTCTGACCTGAAACTGAACTGAAATGAACTGTGTCCTTCCTTTCAGGTGGTAGCGGTACAGCAGTACGTGGTACGGCCCCAGTCGGCCGACTCTTCAGACTCGTTCCTCTCAGAAGTGTGCAAGAATGACTACCAGCTCACCGAGGAACAGGTCAAAAACGGCGAGTCACTCGAGTCAGCCATTCAGCGGGTGAGTTTTATCAGAACTGAACCTTCTCCCAAGAGGAAAAGCATTGTAGCCAGTCACTTGATGTATCACATCATGCATGATCATTGATATTTGCTTGAAAAAGGAAAAGCCGTTCACCGAGAAAAGCTTAACCCGCGCGGGGCTGGGGTCTCCAGCCGAACGCGCGGGGCGGGGGGGGGGGGGTAAATTTTACCCCCCTGTTATCTCCCGAACTAATGGTCCGATTTGGAAATTCAAACGGCAATCGAAAGATCTCATCACGAACAACTAAAAACATGTACTTAATTTTAAGTTTGAGGTCAAGGTCAAGGTCAGGTCAAGGGTACAAATTGCAAGTTCCTACAGTATCGGCCTTGCACCGTAGTTGCCGACGAATGGAGTCATGGACTGAGACTGATCGCCCAAAACGTGTTCTTAGGCTACCAAGACAATATTCGGTGCATAAAATATCATTCAGAGGTCAAGGTCAAGGTCAGGTCAGGTCAGGTCAGGTCACCAAAAACAAAATATAGAAAAGGGCATGTGCGACGCATGTTTTATGGGTCATTTTCAGGGCTGCGGAGTCGATGGATTTTCGGCGACTCCGACTCCGACTCCGACTCCGGCTTTCAAAAACCAGCTCCGACTCCGACTCCGACTCCGGGCAGAATTGTCGACTCCGACCGACTCCAACTCCCGACTCCGACTCCGCAGACCTAGCAGGGCTGCGGAGTCGACAGATTTTCGGTGACTCCGACTCCGACTCCGGCTCGGGTTTCTAAAATCGACTCCGACTCCGACTCCGACTCCGGTCACAACTGTCGACTCCGACCGACTCCGACTCCGACTCCGACTCCGACTCCGCAGCCCTGGTCATTTTACTCATAGAATTCAATAGGCACACTCAATAAAGGATATGGACCACCTCTGGATGAATTTCAGGCCGTGGTCAGGTCAAGGTCAGGTCAAGTGAGGTCAAATTTTGAAGTTGGTTGTTAAGGCCTAAAAAGGTGTCTATCTGATGCAGTTTTTCACGGCGAATCGAATGGTGCTATTTTTGTTTCCGTACGAGGTCTAGAACTTCCGAAAAAGTCATTTTTCAAAAAAAAAATTTGTGTCGTGACGTCATACAATTTTGAATAACTCCCACATTTTTGAACCGATTCTTCTAAAACTTGGTATGTAGGTGCACATAGACCTCTTCTCTTACATATATTCCGGTTTTTTTGATACACTTAAAATTTTGGATTTTATAGTTATTTTCCCAAAAAAGTCAGTTTTTTGAAAAAAAAAATTGGGCCAAAATCCAAAATTTTCAAAAAACCGAGATAACCATTTGATAGACAAAGTAGAATTACGTATATCCTTTTTTGTTACGTCTCGATTCCTTTAAAAATGAAGATGTTAGCGGCGTTTGAACTTTTGCCGTTTTTGAGGCGAAAATGGCGAACATGACGTCACTAAAACGTCAATTTCTCAAAAATTTTCCGACGGATTTCGCTCAAATTTTCAGGGAACGTGTCAAATTGATGTAAGAAAAGGTACTGAAAGTTGAGATATTGCAAATATTCGCGAGGGGGGGGGGGGGTAAAATTTACCCCCCCCCCCCCCCAGCCCCGCGCGGGTTAATTAAATGGATACTTTTATGCGTTATTCGACATTTTAAACTTGTTGAAAATACATTGGGCAGGCGCTGGTGGTGCAACGGTGCTTAGGGAGATGCCAACTACGTCTAGTGGAGATGCTAGTTAGTTTTCTACGTAGTTGGGTGGTGTAACGACTAATGGCTTCAAATTACACAGCGTAAAGAATTAAATATTTTGCAACCTTATTTCAAATTACACACGTAAATAAATTATCTCTACAACTAATAAGGTTAAACTAATAAGGTTGGTCGCATTTATGTTTGTCCACGACCCACTAAAGACATCCGTCTTTTTCTCCTTCCTGCTTGGAAAGTTACTCAGGATGAAACGCATTAGCAATAAGGGTGATGTGGGTGATGATGAATTAGGGTAGAAGCTGCGCAAGCACTTGTTTACCTAATAACTTTAAAGCTTTACTCATAGGAATATCCATTGTACCGAAAACGTATAAGCGAAATAGCAGATCAAATCGGGAATCTCGTAGAAGAGTTTCCGGTAAATTGTTACCAAATGTCATCATTCATTGCCATAGGCATTATGCTAGCAAATCTAGTCTCTTTGGAAAGCCCATTTTCGTTGCCTTCCTCGTTGCATGTATTATTGGCATTTGTTCTATAAACTAATCTAAATATATTTCGTTTAGGTTTCGTCAGACGACAAGTATTTGTGGATCAATAATATGAGCATGCAATGCCATTCACACGCCATGGAAGTTATTGCGTTTTCCCTATCAATAAAAAACAGCTCACTGTTTTTATCTAAGAATAATTAATCCACTGGTTGCAACGCCAACACGAATACATTGCTCGCATGTTGAGGCACGTTTGCTGTTAACGGACTTCGCATCATACATATGGGCTCACCATCGAAAGTCTGATACATTTATGCAAGCGGTTAGGTTAAAAGTCCCCATTACGACTACGGGCTGTTCTACGAAAGAGCGCTATGCTCCGGACAAGTGTCATGCATTCGCCTTAGTCAGGGCCAACTGTTGCCGACGTCTGTGTTTTCGAGTCAGTTATGTAACTAAGACGGTATATCGTGCCTTTTTAGGTGGCAACATTGCATAAGTATGAAGGATCATACGTGTATTGCGTTTGCATTTTTTACATTCAGATGCTCCTTTTTGTTGGTTTGCTGGTAGATGATTAAATTGTTCACGGTCATTCCCAAGAAGGCCGTGTATGAGGGAAAGGGCGTTTTCTCGTCAGCTGGACGGATTAAATCGGCTCACGCAAAGCTACGAATCTTTTTAGATACCCAAATTTTAGGTGGGCTAGGTCATGTTAACCTGCGGAACTGTTTGTAGTCCGCATTGATCATAGTTATCCAGTTAGCATCAAAATAGGTGCTCAGCTGGCACCCCATTCAGCGGAAACGGGTCACAATCGGCTCAGTGGCGCGCCTGCGGGTGTTAGCGCGCTATTGCGCGGGGCTTTGTGCGCAGTAACCGTGAGACTAGCACTGTGTGGGCCTGTCGGTGGCAGCAGCGCCCGGCCTGTTAATGACCAGCGCTAACGAACATGGCAGGTCGGCCGGGTCGGGCGGGGCCGAGCGCGCCGCCGCCGCCGCCGCCACGGCACGCCCAGCGCCGTGACAGCGCGTCACGGCGTGACACACAGCGTCACGGCGTGCGGAAGCGGCGGCGCATCCCGCGGCGCGGTGACGGTGCGCCGCCGTCGCCGCCGCCGCGTCACGGCCGCCGCAGCTGACGGCGCTCGACGCCGGGAAAATGGCGGCGCCCAGTGCCGCGTGCGGCCGGCTGGCGGCCCGCCAGGGGGCGGCCACGTCACCGGACCGGCCGGTCTGACCACCTCCTCAGCCACCCCCCCCCCCCCAGACGACGGATTAGTGCCGACAACAGGACGCTGCCTCATTGGCGTCCCAAGATAATGATTTATCGCCCGCCGCTCGGGCTGCCGACAGGGCTTCCATATTCCTTTTTTGCTGACAAAAGCGGCGTGGTGAGCTCCAGTGGCGCCGGATTCACGAAAGGTTGATGTCCGCCCGAAACGCCCGGGTCTATGGTCAAGTGTCTGCTTTTGTGCTGGTGCCGTGCGAAGAGCGCTGCTGTGCACCAGTTTTCGGCCGAGATCCGGGACGGCTGAGCGCCATTGGCGTCCCTCGTCTCCGCCGGAGGGTATTTCCGTCATCTGTCGCGCCGAGCGGCCGTTGACTTGGGGACAGATTCAGCGGAATGACGAGCGGTTTATCCCGCACCTCCGCGGAGCCGCCGCCGCCGCAGCGTCCCCCGCTGACGTCATATGGCCCTGAGGTCAGCTGTTGGCCGCCACGGACGGCGCGCGGGCCCTGCCACGGCGGCCCTGCCTGCGTGCCGGATCCGCTACATGGCAAAGTCGTGGCGGCGGTGTTCGAGTCTCCCCAGACGCCGGCGCCGTCCGGATCGGTAAAACGGGCCGCCGGCACGGCAGCGGACGCCGCTGTGATGGAGCCCCGACACGACGCGGTTTCACGGCGTCTGAATAGCCGACAATTAGCCGCCATTGTTCTGCGCCGTTTTTGCCGCGAGCACACAGTATTTCGCCGCATGGTGACAGCTTTGTCACGCGTCTCACGGGCGGGGCCGGACAGGAAAAGATCTCGATCTGGGGTCGCGACTGGCGATTGCGATATGACCGATCCTGGCACCGTTAGAATATACTTTATCGTTCTGTCGAGAGTTCACTCGGCATGGGTCATCAACGTCTTTCGGCATACGTCATCGAGCGTAATGGTGGGGCGCAGATTTTGCAGAGTAACCCGGTCTGAGGAGCGCCAGCAGCTGCTGATAACGAGTGCTGGGTGCCACGGACCGGCACCGGTGGCTCCGACACTTACCGCCGGGCGTGACCCGGCCCACTCGAGTGGGTCGCTGGAGACTCTTCAGGCGAGACAGGGCCCAGCCTCTCGGAAGTGGCAGCCTACTCCTGCTGAACGGACCATACCGGTTTGAGAAGCCAGCGCCGGGCACCCGCGTCCACCTCTCACTCTTCTCTGCACCTCTCCTTTCCCCTCTCCTCATGCACCCTCCTCCGGAGCATGATCTTGTGTTTCACAAGGCCCATGCTCACTTCTAGGCCCCAGTCACGACTGAGCGGTAAGCACCATGATTAGCTGCTCCGCCCATTACAGTTCATTATCCTCCATTCGCTCTGCACGATATCTGCACATGTGCCAGGGCGTACCAATCTCTGCCGGGCGCCGGGCTACCTCGCAGCACATACAGGGCAGCCTGCCAAATTTGACTGCACAGCGCGCACTTTGCTTATCAAAAGAGATGTAGCGCAAAGAGCGTTCAAGTGCCACTTCTCGGCAGCCGGCAGCTAGGCTTTGGAAAGACTACGCGTCTAAACTTGCAAGAGCAGTGACTGAACT